AGTACAATGACAATAACAACAGTATCAGAAAACTACAGTAACAACAATAACAGAAAATACAGTGCGGGCTTTATGGACAAGTGAAGTAGCTTTATTACAGCACTGATATTTTCTTTTTTGGGAATCCAACCCATCTGATTTTCAGGCCTATATTTCATTACCTCTTGTCACAGAAGTGAAAAGGAAAATGTCGTAAGACTTTACTGTGAAAGCCCTTCCTTCTCCTCTGCATATAAATAGATACATCAACGATAGATGAGTACCTTTTCAGTACAGAGTTTTAAAAACTCTAATCCTCAGTGAGTGCAAGGAGATCTGTTCTATTTTCCATTCAATGCCAGTATCAGGCTACCTCTATTTTATTTTCTAGCAGACAGAATCTAGGCATGTTTCATGAGCTCACTCAAACTACATACATTTTTTCCTTCCCCATATTTCTATGTTGTTGCTCCATTACACAAACCTGACTATCAAGATTGTCTGGCTGCTTCAGCGTTTTCTTCAGGTGTCATTTACAATTTACAAATCATGTTCTTTGCTCTGGTATGTGGCAAAATCTGGTATGCTTCGCAGTGTTATCTGCAGCTATGGGACAGCACATGATGCTAATAGGAGCTAGCACAAGCACAAGCACTCCATGTTGGAAAGTATTGCTCTCCAGCTGCTCTTGTCCACTGTTTCATGTCAGAATTTATCAGAAACAAATTAGGGTGCCAGGGATCTGTGGTAGATGCAGAGGTCTGTGATGGACTATTTTAGACCTCTAACTTCTAGGGCTCTGAATCACCCTTGTGGATGTGCATTGGCTGCATAGGAAACTTATCATCCTAGGTTTGGTCTACAAACACACCTATCAGTTAAATATCTCAATATACTAAAGCAGATGGTGTGAATATCCACTTAAGCTATAACAAGCCAAGCCAGAAGGCAGAAAATATCCCCAAATTGTCTGCTGGATTTTCTGGCATCATGATGAAACAGCAGAGTTTGGCTTTGTTTTCTCAATTTGATCTTTGTTTTCTCATTTTGATCTTTCTCAGTTAAGACACATTCAGGGCAAGATGACCTGTTGTGAGAATCTTCATAGGTTGACTGCCCAGAGCCACAAGCCTTTGAGCTATGAGAAACTTTTGCAATATTACCTTGCTCATTTGCATTCCTACTGCCTAATTCCTGGGACTTGCTTTCCAGATAAATGGAATTCATGATAGTTGTGGCTTTAGTCTGTGTCTTAGGATAGACAGAAGAGTTTTCTGCCAACATCCCGCATTAATTCTTCTCATTCATCACTAAGAGAATTAGGTCCCTTACCTGTCTCAGCTTATCTCTTTTAACAGGAAACAACTCTAGCTGATGAGCAGTAACATTTCATACTGGCAGATATTTTGCTGCCACTGATTTATCTTTAATTTCAGTGCCAGCCTACATCCTCATGCTTTGTACATGTCCTAATCCAAAAGAGAATAATCAGATCCATCTGAGTAGCCTCTTTCACCAGTCCATGCACACAGCCCTTAAGTCTTGCTGTTCTTGTGCCAGAGGTCATGAGCACTTGTGGCCCTAACCAACATTTTCTTATTACCTTAATACAGATTCAGAATTTATCTCTTTACCAACAACATATCTAATTAATGCTGGAGGTATTATAAAAAATAATCCTCTTTGACTTGAATTCCATTGCTTCTCAGCATGTGATATATTAATCTCCAGTATCATCTCTCTACCTTCTGTCTTCCTTTTCTCTTTTAGGCATCAAGGTGGGGGCTAATGGAAAGGAAGAGATGAACAAAATTCAAGAGATCTTATGGGATGTTAAAACATTGTCCATTGGTTCTGCTTGACGTTCACCCACTGCCCATGGTGCTGTAACTGCCACCATCTGCAAAAGCAACTATGAGTAAAAATTACATCTGAAAATGTGTCATTCTGATAACTTGCTTCAGCAGTTGGGACAGTCTTATTAAAAAATTATTTTTTAAATATCCATCATAAAATAGTTCATAGCAATGTAAACTTCCCACGATCAGAAAATATTAATGACGGAAGGACTAGATAAAGAAATATATGTGCTAGAAACCTGCTAACTGTGTTTAGCCTCTCTTTTTTAACTATGAAATGAACATTTGGTTTCCTGGAAGTGGTCTTTATTAAGTAAGTCTTTGTTAACAAAGTGCAAAGATGAAGAATGTAAATGTGATTTGTTCTGCCACCTTTTCTGGAATAACACTGATAAGCTGGCATTGTAGGGAACCAAAGCTTTCTCTTAATGAACTGTGATTTTTCTGTTTCATGAAGAACATGGCCCCCAGAGATGAGCCCCTCCACCACTTCTTCCCACCCACACCTCACATAAAGTCTAATTTTATTGAGAGAAATACACCAAGCAGAAATACAGTCTGGGAGGTACCATGGAGAGAGTGACCACACTCCTCACTCTAGGAGCTTTATGTTCCTCACATACTCGTGTGATCTGGCATCCAGAGCAGTAGTACATCCTTTGACATGTGAAGATGCTATTTCATCCTGACTTCAGTTATAAAGAGAAGAGGACTGTGGTCTATGCAGAAACTCTTTATGTATCTTCATCGGTCTCAGTGTTTAAGTTTCCAATTTTATTCTGGCTAAGACTGTTGTTCTAAACTGATAACCTTAACAGAATGTCAAAGTGAATATCTTCTGCTTATGCATCACCTAGACAATAACATGCCCATTTTCTCATTTCTGAAAGATCAGAGTTAAAGCCAAGGTCACAGGTACTGTCCCATCAGTTTCAGTGGCCTTTGAATGATTCAGTGTTGAGTAGGTTTTTAATGTACTAAAGGCACCACTGTCCATTAGAAGGGAGTTTGAAGCCTCCCACAGTGGGGAACAAATACCACTTCATCCCCAAAACAGTCCCTAGCCTCCTGTTCTGCTACCTGTGGTTTCATGGGACACATCAGTGACTGGGAACAGCATATAATAATGTTAAGAAATCGATCTGGCCAAGATTTATGTCACATTCAGTAGGTACTGCTAGTTTGCCCAGAAATGCAGTGACACTCATTATTTATTATTTGACATAGAAATGCAGAGTATTTACTTTTTATGAGGTTTGCTTGGTTGGAAAATAGCACTCCATTTACATACTGAATCTAGCATTTCATTAATCCTTAGTTTTTCCTTTAATTTTTTGTTGTTTTCAGCTTTATCATTCTTCTAAATGTTCCAGATGTACTGAGTGTAAATGGCAATTAGTGTAAACATAGTTCAGCCAGTTGACGTTATAAATCGAACTATACACTGGGGTTACATCAGTGTGTACTAGCAAATTAAACAGAGCCTCTCACCCAGAGACCAGCTAGTTGAGTCTAGTCACATCTCAGCTATGGATTTACTTTAGCTTCCAAAACAGGGTGCCTTCATCCAGTTTGCTATTTGAGAATGGTCTCTTGCCTCCCAGGATGTGCCTGAGAACTATTGGGAAGAATTTTGATCCAAGTCAGGATCATGCCAGGGCCACGCTAACAATTTAAAACTAAAGATGATGGAGTTTCAGTGCTCACAGCCGTGTCCTGGCACTGTTTAATTCCTTGGTAAAGAAGTAACCTGTGAAAGACTCTTTCTTTGGTTGTTAATCAGCATCACATAAAGTCCAACAGCCTCTTCTCCTCTACAGGGGATGAGGGTTATGTTCTCAGCTCTGTCAGGAGAAAGAGCACATACTAACACCATGGACCAAAAAAGCTTCTTGCTCCTTCCATTACAAAATGCAGTCTGCCTGATGCTACAGTGACATTCAGCCAGCAGTGGAATGGTGAGGCTTTTTGGTGTCTTGCCTTCAAAGCAAGGACATGAGCTTCTTTCCTCATTTTCCCTTCTTTTGAAGTATGAGTCTTACTCTAGTCCAACTCGAGAACTAGACAGAAATGATAAAAAATGATACCCAAATTCCAGTTCCAAAATTTTTTTCATGTGTAAGTCCAGTAAAGTCAGTAATTCATAAGCTTTAATTCTGGGAAAATATATTCCCTTGACTGACTATTCAAGTATAAAAGACATAAACTATCTTAATAATGAAGATAATGAGGATGTAAGAGCAGAACATAAATTTCTTCAGGTCTGAAAGCAACCAATTTCTCAGATGTGAACAGAATCATTAATGATCACATTTAAATGCAGAATTTAACAGAGACACTGCTACAAAGCTTATACAGTCTTACAGTTTACCAGATTTGTTTCATTTGAAGGTAAAAAAACCAGCCAAATTGTAGGGTAAATTCCAGTAACATGAGGCCATATAGTGCTTATTATCAGTGTTACAATATGTTACTTTGGTCTTCCAGGCTTTGGGTTTTTATCTCTGCCCCCTGCTCTATTTCTAGGGAAATATCTCATTTATGAATAATGGATGCAATACATTTGTTCTCTAGAAAGGTCACCATGAACAAAAAAAAGAGTCAATGTTTATTTTAATTAACATGCAAACTAAGTAGCTAAACAACATATATGAATCGTACAAAGTTAGAAGAAAAATGAGACTTTAAAATTTAGCTACACAACTGGAAGAGTCAAAGCACTGCCTAGGAAAGCTGAAGCCTTTGAAAAGAAGTATCTGCAAAAGTTTCTGGTAAATTAAAGAAAACACTTAACCAACAAAGAAAGCAGAGACCATGCCTGCACTGGCTTGTGTCCACTCAAATTGGGTGGCAGTCAGAAGATTTGAACTTCAGCTCTGGAGAGAAATACATAATGAAGGGCTCATGTGAAAACCAACTTGCCACATGAACAGGAATGCTCCTGAGAATCCTGAGGATGTGCTTTGCAGGGAGGACAGAAGTGTCAATCCCAACACTCTGGAGCAGAGAGAAGCAGCAAATGGCAGAGCACAACTCAAAAGCCTGCTTTGTGCTTTGTTCACCATCGTCAGAACAGACAGGATGAATTAAGTCAAATTAAGAGATTATGATAAGGCAGTGTAAAGCTGTTCTTGGCACTGTTCTCTGTCATGCAGAATTCATTCAGCATGCCCCTGCTTGCTTCATACGTAAGGCACCTCTGCTTCTCCTGCAAAGGAAAGGAAGGACAGACGTTGCAGAGAGTAAACTTAACATTATGATCTAAAATCTCTCTGAAGTCTTCAGCCAACAATTTGCTAATAGAGAAGACACTATGGACATTTGTAGCAGACAAGAAGGCACTGATCTGTAAACAATTTTATTTAAAATATTGTGTATTTTATCCATAAAAAGCAAGATATTTCCAGTACCACTTTTGAATTCTTATATGACCTGATTTGGGTCCACATGCCTTGTTAGACCTGTGTTGCTCATTGGACTCTTCTCTTTACTAGCTGACTTCTACAGTTTCTGTTAGAATAGGAAGTTGCTCACAAAATTGTCAAGGTAATTTGTTTAGATCAGTTGGACCTTATTGGTGGGAGAAGCAATTAGTCTATAAAGATTAAGCAAAGAAGCAGAGGAGTAGTGACCCTGAAAAAAATGGTAGCACTTAGATGGAATGAAAATACTAGGTAACTCAACTAATCTCAGATTTTGTCTTATTTAGGGGTAATTACGTAGTATTTTACTTACAGGACTGCTTTGCAGAAGGAACATTTGTTGTTGTATGTTTTCCCATCAGAGCCACAAAAAGGTTGATAGAGTCTTTCGCAGTAAATAGGTCTTCCTCTTGGTAACCTCTTGTATTCACTGCAGTCAACCTGCAAATACAGTATAATTTTTTCTTTGAATCCATCTTTCTCACATTCTCCATTCACCTACAAAAATAATGAAGTTTTTGGACAAGCTTGTCAGCTGCTCTAAAGCAGGACAGTTAGTGGGGCTCCACCATCTGCATTAGCTGGGCCTAAGCCTCAAAAAATAAATTTTCCTTCTGATGGAGATGTGTGTGATGCTACCCATGTCAGGTACTGAACACCTTCAAGGACTTCACTGTCCGTCTTAATACAGGTACTGGGAAAAAATAGCCCCTTTTTCATCTACAGAAAAGTTGAGGCTTCATTTTTTTTTTCAACCTGGTTGCAATTGTCAGTAAATTCAGGTGATACTAATTTTCAAGGATGTGAAGGCTTTCTGTCTCTATTGCACAAGATTTCTTGGTGCTTTTTACACTGTTGAAAGGATCTGACCAGGCAGAATTAAGTATAGTTCTATTTAAATATTATCATGAAAAGAAGTTGTTGAAAGACCCTCATCCGATAGTGGGACACTATTCATTACAGACTTACATATGAGAATGGGAGTACAAACTAATAAAAGAAATGACTGAAAGTGTCCCTGTCCTGATTTGAGGTCAATCTTGTCCTGTCAAGTGAATGTTGTTCCTGGTATTTGATAAGCAAGGAGCTCCTTTTGCAGTGCATATATTCCATTTAATGTGCTGTTTGTCATCCTCAAAAGCCTAAGGTTTGCTTACTTGGGAAATCACCTGTTCTTATAGGTGCTGTTGTATCTAAAATCGGTTCAACTCTTTTTGCTGCTAGTCTAGTGAGAATTTAAAGCACATTAGTCCTTGGAGGGACGGGAGCTTTTCCTTTCTGAAGATCTAGCCAAAATATGTATAAGTGTACATATTTAAAACAGGACCCAGCCTTGCTGTTATGGCCTGATTTTATTTTCCCTTCATTCCAACTCTTAGTGAAGGACAGGAGCATTACTTCAGTCAAAACCTGGACTTTATTACAGATTATATGATAGGTTTTATACTAGTCATTGCCCAGGGTCTGCAGGTGGGTGAAGCAAGGAGCTGTGGGGGGTCAGCATCTTCAGCAGCCCAGCCCCTGTGCCATGGCTCAGCACAGACTAAGAGGTCTCCACTGGCAAAGAGAGTCATTAGCCAATCACTCTTTTGGGTGTTATGGGCTTAAATCCAGTGTTCCACTAGGAAAAACAAAAAACCCAACAAACATATTGGATGTTAGTTTACCTAAGTTTTTCCTTAATTTGGTCCTTTCCCTCTCCTTCAAAGCCCTGGCTGCTGACACATTTCAAGCTCTGTGGCTGGAAAGCAGGAGGCAGCACACCTAGCCCCAATTGCAAAAGCAGGTCAGAGACCTGACATAGCTGAGATTTCCATAACATAACCCAGCAGAGGCAGTGGCATGGGAGGGAACCTCTGGAGCTTGTAACTGATCATTTTAGAACTGGTCAGCCACCAACTTGTGAGAGGTAAAGGCCAGCTAATAAAAAAAGCTAGGAACTAGGCGAATTTGCCACATGCATATGGGTAACAGGTGATAAAATGGGGAAGATACTTAGTTTGGTGTGGAGAGTGGAACAGGCTCTTCCTGGAAAAGTATGTATGTCTTAGTGTAGCTTTAGGCATCAGAGGCTGTATATGTTGTACTAGTATACTAGTTGAACCAGCTCTGTGTGTGGGTGAATTTCCACTCCCTGTTATTGTCCCCTGGACTCCCAAAGGGCTTGTCTCTGCTCATCTGAGTAAGGATTTTAGTGGTTGGTGCCTTGTTTCTTTCTGAGGTTGATCCCAGGATGGACACTCCAGCATAGTCAGAGAGAAATTAAAACCTCTAGGTGCATGATTTAGAATCTGAAATTCACCAAGAAAGCCTTATAGTGTCATCACCAGATAAATATGTGAAAAATCTTAATTTCTCTGATTCAAAATTTGGCCTTGCCCAATTTCTTGCCCAGAATGCATTACAGGTAAAAACATCTGGAAGTTGTCAGAGGGACTATTTGGAAACCACATATCTCAAACTCGGGCATTTCTCTCTGAAATCTCAGTATTTTGGCAACATTTATGTTTAATATGTTTTTTCTGACTTGCTGTCCTCATGTTGTTATAAACAGTATATTTTTATCCATAAATAAAGGAGAAAATTACTCACCTCATTCTCTTCAGCAGCATCTGCAATATAAACAGAATCACAAAAGATAAAAAACACTGTTGAGGAACATTCATTTTGCAGCTGGGATGGTTTCATTAGTACCAGCCCTTCCAGCAACACTAACCCTCTTACCTCCTTTGAGGTAAATACTGACATAGTTTTTCAGTGTTTAATAACATACAGGTGTCAGGACCTATTAAACAAGTGGACCTGATTGTATTGTTTACCTTAGAAATCTGTGTCAGCAACTAGAACAGTTTTTGTTGTCAGAGGGAGTTAAGGCTATTGTTCCCCTTTTCACCAGAGAAAGACTGAAGACCCAAGAGTCAATATTATGGTAAATGGCCACTGTGTTTAGGATGAACTAGTTGTTGAGCATGACTGGGCTTTAATTCCCAAATTTATTAAAAAAAAATACTATGTGGCTGTAAGCAAATCATGTGGTCCTTTTATGCTTCAGTTTTCTGTCAGTAATGAGTAATATCTTCATTAAAATATAATACTAAATATATATAATAATGATAATGCAATGTAAATCATAATACCACTTTAAAAATTGTTTTCCCTTGCTGGTTAATATAGATTCTAAACTATTTGGCAGAAGGATTGGCTCCTATTTTGTGTACACATGGCATCTAATAAAATGGAGCCCTATTCTCAGGTGGGGCTTCAAAAAGCTCCTTCAAAACAATGATAATTACGCCTCCCATAAAGTAATCAAGTAACGTTGGCATGTCTCCATTATGGTGACACATTTGTTACTTCCTTTAGGAATGTATTTTGTTCTCCTGTCCTGTAATTGTCATTCTGTGGCTTCCAAAGTATAGAAGTTATCAGAGCAGGAAGAAAATACATTATGATATAGAAGGCAATACAGCTCTAGCACTTGTCTTTCTGACTAAATGTAGCTTTTTTTGATCTTTAAAGCCATTAAGCTTTCCATTGAAACTTCCTTTCATGGAGCTGCTTACATCTTCTCATCTAATGAAGTTGTCCAAGGTAAAGAAAACTTGCATAAATAATGCTCTATGTCAAGTCTCAGTCTATGCCAGCAGAAGTTTGATTGAATTTTCATTAGTCTGGAATTGGATCAGATTTAACCCACTTCCACAAAAATATTACCTTTTTTTTTTTTTTTTCTTTCTGGTAACCTTTTAGTATCCACTATGTATTTGGGAGTGAACGCAAGAAAGATGTGGCTCAAAAATTATTGATCCATGAAGTTTTCATGCAGACAAGATGAACTAAAGTTCAAGGAAACGATGTGCTGGAATTCTTATGAAAGCAATATTTATTTCTTTTTATGCGGTTAATGAAACACTGTTTGAAAGAACAGTTTCCATCAAAAGCATGCCATTTCATTAAAATTCACAGTTTTCATAAAATTTTTTATTTTGAGACAATTTTCAAAGCAAACATTTCAGAGCTATTCAAAAGGGAAAAAGATTACTTTGTTTCATAATTTTGGTTTTGTTTTAACATTTTAGTTGTTTTGCTTATTCAACATTCATAATGCTATTAAACTGCTGTACTACAAGCAGAGAGGATTTAGGCTCTCCTTTTTCAGTTATTCTAAGTGTACTTATATTTCTTTTTTAATTGCAAATTATTGTTAAAAAAAAAACAACCAAGTGAAGGCTCAAGAAATTTGTTCTAGCTCCCTATTTTGCCATAGAGCAACTTGCGCCTCAGAGCTCTCTCCAGCCTGGCAAGCTAACATCATAAAGAAGAGGTTATTCACACCCATATTATGTGGCATACGCATAATCAACCGTCTCCTGCTTGCTCAATTTGGCAGGAGAAGGAACTCATCAGCTCCAAACTGCCTGCTCAGATGGAAGAAAAAAATAAGTAGGTAAAAACCTGCTGTAGTTCACTTTTTAGTAACAATGCAGAATGCAGCTCTGATGCACATCCCCATCAAGGAATAGTTTTCATCTCCTCAAGTTGGCAACTGTAAAGCTGGTAAATTATTGCTTGCTAAATAGTGCACAAGCATAAAATTTCACTTGCTTTCTGCCACCCAAGTCCAGCAACCGTTGCTTACTATCCCAGTAGATTGAGAATCTTCTCTTGTTTGAACATTAGAATATAATATATCAGGAATTTTAAAAGGTTACTCACTTGCTAAACAAAGAACTGCCAGGGCGAGGAGCACAAAGGCACCTGTTATCTTCATAGCAGACGTAGATTCTTGACCTGTTTCACAGCCAATCTGTGCTCTAAGTATTCCAGTGCACTTAGCTTAAATGTGTATTCCTGTACCTATGAGAGCAGATATATATACACGCATGCACAAAGAGCAGGAGCCCTGATGATGAAATCCCCCTTGTAGAGAAGGTAATTAGAAGAAGGTGTTGCCCATGGGTAGAGTCAATAAGAATGTCTTCTACACAGCATGCAGGTCATAAGTACAGGGCAAAGATGAGTGTCACGGCATGGATTGTGTTGATAAGGGAGATGTATTGTACTTTGGCTAATCCCCTTGCCTAATTAACTGTTCCATCTCCATTAGCATGTTCAAGGAGTGATTCAGTAAGGTGGTTACTTATTGCCGTTCTATTATTGTCATATTGACTCTTAGAGCTAAACATAATTCCCAGGGAAAAAAAAAACCCTGCAATTCTTACTGGGTATGTTCCGAAAGATTCATACCAGTAGAGCTGAAATGCTTACTTCCCATTCTCCTGAAATTTTGGAGACCCTTGTTGCTAGCTGTGGATAGAGGTGGTGCTGGTTCGTATGGCCATGCACTGAGCCCTTTCAGACTGCTCCGTGACAGTAGTTGCTGCTTGGAGAAGTCTGTGTTTCATGTGAATACCCTCACCTTCACACACAGCCCAGAAGATACCCCAGTCTTTCAGTGTTCTTTTGCCTTTCAAGTTCCACGAGTTTAGAGATCAGAAACAACACTTTGTGACAGAATGAGCAAAGATATCACATTGCAATGCCTCGCAAAGAGAAGCGATGAGCTCACAGCCATTCTGCATCCTGCTGAGTTACTGACTAGTTTGCTGTCATGGAGATATGGAGAAGATCCTCCGCCTGCCCATCTTCTCCTTTGTTGGTATTTCCAGCACAATAGTGTAATTTAATGTGGGATTCTTTAAACAAATCCAACATAGCAGTGTGTTAGTGACTTAATCAATAGGCATAATTTTCTGGCTTTTATAATACAGACAAGGGGCAGAGTCACAATGGGAAATTCAGATCTGAGTCTTAATTTTAATAAAGTTTGAAGTAATGTGGAGTTTTGAACCTATAGTTTTGTTTTAACCCATCCTTCCAGAATTGCCTTCTCTTTAGTGATTTGCAATGTAGATGTGCAAATTGTCTCAGTATGAAAGATCCCCACACACTATTACAATTCACAGTATTTCAGTGATCACCTTGCAAGATAGTCTGCAGCTTTTTCCCCACGCAGGAGTTCGGGCCATGTATGCTCATTTCACTAAGAGAGAGGGACTGAAAGTTCTTAGAGAAAAAGTTGTAATAGGTCAAGAAAGCCTCAGGCCCCACTAGCTCATGTGGAAGCCAAGAGGGATATGGATCATCTTGACTTTAAAGAATGTAGGTAATGAATAAATGGTTATTTTCTCATCTCTCATTTTGTTTCAACGAGACAAAAAAATAGATGCCTTTAAATTCCAGTTCCAGGATAGGTAAAGATCTGTTTTGAGTTGGAGGCCTTACTTTAGTGATTTAATTTTAAATTTTCCTTTGTTCTTAACTTGGATATCTGTGCATAGTCCTGTGAGGTGGAGACCACAAAAAACAGGTTGTGATTTAAATTGGGGTTGGTCTGGGTTCTGCTTGCTTTGGAATGCAAGTTAAATTATTGTTCTGGAAAGCCTGAAACTTTTCTGAAAAGCTTGGCATAGAGTGTGTATAAACTCATGGAGAATATTCAGGGCATGTTTGTTGGTTGATGGACAATTAACAACGTTATGCAACAAGAGCAAAACCCAAAACAACCCAGAAGGTACTCCTAGTCTGAATAGTTTTGAGCAAACAAGACTCTTGAGGATATCTTGAAACTACAAAACTGCAGCTTGACAGAACATGCAGGTTCCTTGACACTGGTATGAGGAAATCTGCCACTTTGGTTACACTGTCTTGCCTAATATGATGCTACAGTGTACTGTCTGATGCAACCTCAGTATCCATCCCAGCCCTCTAGCAGAAGAATATAAAGATTTGTTTTCAGTCTTCTGAGTTGATGTAGGAAGATTTTCTGAGGACTAATGTAGAAAGAAAGAGAGGACTTCTGGAGGTGGGAGGGGGTTAATGAAGGAGGGAGATTTTGGATCAGATTTTTCTCAGCATATGAAAATTATCTTGCTATGGAAAGGATTCCTGATGCTTATTCTATGTCCATAGCAGGAAAGCCATAGTGTGAATGTTTTCTTTCTGGTAATGTTTAGGTGTTTTGATTAGGGCTTTTGAATCAGTTTAAGATTAATTTTCTGAGCAGTGGACCTTAAGCTTTGTAGGGCTTGCCCAGAGAACTAAGATAGGAGGGATACAGTTCTGATGAGAAGCTGTGACATATTGTAGGGTGTGCAAATAGCAGCTCACTACAAGCAGGGCACAGCAGGGGGTCAGCCAAATTTTTGTTTTTTGAAATATCAAAGCTGTCTTGAAATTTTGAGAAGGAAAATGTCATACACAGAAAGAAACAGTCTATTTCACTTTCTGCAGGGAGGTAATACTCAAATGCAAAATCTCAAAATGAAATTTGGTAAGAAGTAATGCCACAAAGCATTTATTGCAACTCCAGTTTAAAAGGATACTGAAGTATCTCGTATCTATATGCCTAACTTTAAGAATGGACAGAATTCACATTAGCCAACTGAAGAAAATAGTCATTGACTGAAAAAAGTGCTTCATCTGAGGCGTCTTTCTGTCCAAACTTGCAGAGGCTTGTTTGCCCTGGTAATCTTCATATGGAGCTAGTCTGACAACCTGAGACCTGTCATCCTCAGATAGGCCAAAGGTTCCTCTAGGTCAGAGTGCTGTCTTCAATAACATTTACCAGCAGATTTAGAGAAGAGAGTGGTTCTTCTCTTGGTGGACAAGTTGGACAGGAGTCAATGGTTTGCCCCTACAGTGAACAAGTACAGCTCTGCATACTGGGCTGTATTAGGAAGAATGTACTTATCAAGTCAAAAAAGTAATTGATTCCCCTGTTCAGCACTTATGAGGCTGCATCTGGAGTTCTATGTACAGTTCTGGGCTCCCCAGCACAAGAAAGACACTGAAATACTGAAGCAAATCCAGTGAAGGACCACCAAGGTACTAGAGGGATGAAGCACATGTCATGCTAGGAAAGATTGAGAGAAGTGGTTTGTTAAGTTTAAAGAAAGAAGGCAATGTCTCATTATTGTCTTCAGCTACTTTATAGGAGTGGACAGAGAAGACAAGAGCCAGATTCTTCTTGGATGTGCACAGTGAAAGGAAGAGAGAGAATAGTGCAAATTGCAGCAAGAAAAATTCCAATTAGAAGTGAGGAAAACAAATTTCACAATGAGAGTAGTCAAGCATTGGAACAAGTTGCCCAGAGAGATTATGGAAACTCCATCCTTGGAGATATTAAAAAATTAATGTCTTCTAAACTGGTCATGGTCTGGTGGTGGGGTAGAGATGTGAGGAACCAAGCAACCCCCATGGTCCATTCCAACCTCAACTGATTCTCATAGGTGAGCGCTAACTGTTGCTGGCAGTCAGCTGCTTAGAGACTTTGTGGCATATTGTATTTGTCTTTATGAGTTAGCACTTCTTACTTCTCCAAGTTGTTATTTTGAAGAAGAAAAATCAATTACTTGGTGAACAAATGTTTATTCACTTTAATGGGTCTGTTATATCTGATAAAATATTAGTGCATATTTTTCCGAGTATGAACATTTGTCACAATTATTAACACACTGCTTTTATTTTTGGATCCCTGAATGGAGCACAAATGTAATGCCAAATATGCTGCTGCAGTATGTCATTAGTTAAGTGCCTGCTTTATTCTGCATGAGAGGATGTTACCTGTCTGCATTCTGGAAAGCATTGATGAGCAGTAGCTTGTTCCTATTTATATGATGAAGTGCCTCACATTGAGTACATCAACAGTGCTGAAAAAATGGCATGTGGACTAGTTAAAGAACATACTGTCACACACCGTGTATACCTGGGAAGAATGTACAAGCCAAGATAGGTATTGATATAGTCAGGAGTGGGAATTCAGACCTCTTAGTGATTCCAGTGCATGTTTATATGCAACCCAGTACACAGGCTCCTTCAATCATATTGTGTGTGGGTGGTCAGGGTTGTCCACACATGTGCAATTAATTTATCAGGGTTTAAAGTCTTGCTCAATGGAAGATTTGAAGTAATTCTTAAGGCATCAAACTGTGCCAAAGTATTTGGGTATCTGCCTAAGGAAGGTGAGTTTCCTATTTTCCACACCTTAAGAAAAATCAAAGGAGCCTTTCTTTAAAATTGCACACATCAAGCTGGGTCAGATCCCAGCTGAAGTGTTCATATATTATTTTAGAAAGTAAAAAAACCCAACATCATGGCTCTGCCAAGGATGGAGCTAATTTTTATTCTTTTTCTTTGTATCTTCTGATCTCTTTAAGATAAATTACAAGGCTATGATATCTACTGTTGTGCAACTAGCTTGTGAATCTTTTGAGTTACTTAGTTCATACCATTGATGTTTCTGACTTGATTCTTCACAGATATATGCAAAACAAGCATTAACAGCTTAACACTTAGCACTGAATGGACAGTGGGCATTGAATAGGATTTAAAGTAAATTACCTTATATTTTGTATTTTAAGGCTCAGTTTCCAGGTGTTTGTCACTCTGAAGTTCTGTCACACTGAAGTCAGTCAAACTGAAATATTTGAGGAAAGCTTTATTTTAAGTTTTTTGTCTCAAAACAATTTTAGAGGTCATACATTTTTTTTGTCTCTATTAAAAATATTACAACTTTTATGAAAGAGAAGCTACAACTTATGAAGAAGAGAGAAAGGATGAAGGTCAACACGGAAGGAGGGGTTGATAGGGAAGCATTTGGATCTGAAATCTAGTATGTGTTCTCTTATAGAACCCCTAAACATAAGCCTTTTTTTTTTTAGCTTTTTGCTGTTAGGAACTGCCTGCTTTACACAGCTCTAATGGCTGAAG